GGGGAGACGTGCGTGTGTCGGGGGAGACGTGCGTGTGTCGGGGGAGACGTGCGTGTGTCGGGGGAGACGTGCGTGTGTACAGGGGAGACGTGCGTGTGTCGGGGGAGACGTGCGTGTGTCGGGGGAGACGTGCGTGTGCCGGGGGAGACGTGCGTGTGCCGGGGGAGACGTGCGTGTGCCGGGGGAGACGTGCGTGTGTACAGGGGAGACGTGCGTGTGTCGGGGGAGACGTGCGTGTGTACAGGGGAGACGTGCGTGTGTACAGGGGAGACGTGCGTGTGTACAGGGGAGACGTGCGTGTGTCGGGTGTATAGAAGTCCAGGGAGATGCTCAATTCTTGTTTCTGCTGACAACTTTTTTGCCCTCTGCCACACCGTATCACCCCTGCCTGCTGGCCTACAGAACACTCCCCACCTCGGCCCCCCTCTTCCCCACCTTGGCCCCCCTCCTCCCCACCTCGGCCCCCCTCTTCCCCACCTCGGCCCCCCTCTTCCCCACCTCGGCCCCCCTCTTCCCCACCTCGGCCCCCCTCTTCCCCACCTCGGCCCCCTCTTCCCCACCTCGGCCCCCCTCTTCCCCACCTCGACCTCCCTCTTCCCCACCTCGACCTCCCTCTTCCCCACCTCGGCCCCCCCTCTTCCCCACCTCGGCCCCCCCTCTTCCCTCTCCACATGGCATAATTTACTTCTTTTCCAGCAAAGCCATGCCAAGAATCCCTATAGCCCCACCGCACACTGTATAGGGAAAGGGTCCCTGGGAGATGTAGTTCTGGGGGTGCGAGTACATCAGTAGAAAAGGAGACCACAGTAGCTGCAGGAATTTTACAAGACTGATGATGTCGCAGGAAGCAATACAATCTCTGTCCCCATCTTCCTGCACAGGTTGGAAGGCAATCTGTGGTCAGACAGACCATTATCAACCCCCCCATCATCACCACCATCATCATCACCCCCCCCACCATCACCACCATCATCATCACCCCCCCCCCCCCCCCATCATCATCACCACCATCACCATGAGACAGGTTGTGGCAAAAGGAATGTAAAGCTCGGGGTTGTCTCTCTGCATTCCTCTTGCCGGCTCTGGTCATGAATAAGTGCTTGGAGCTGCCGGCTATCAGTGCAGCCGCCTCCTTGCTAGCTGCGTTGTTGATGGCCATAGGCAGTGTTCTGTGTAATGGAACCGACCCGACTGCACTGGGGTACTTCCCTTAGAATATCACTTCCCCGTCCGAACACAGATCCACGGACCCCACCGCTGACCATACAAGACTAGATGACACCAATCCTGAAGTAATCCAGGAGGTGACTAGTTTATTTGAACACAGATACAAGATATATACACTCAGGGGACAACCCCCCCTCCCTGCATAATGACATAGGGCGGGGTAATCCCCCCTCCCTGCATAATGACACAGGGCGGGACAATCCCCCCTCCCTGCATAACGACACAGGGCGGGGCAATCCCCCCTCCCTGCATAATGACACAGGGCGGGACAATCCCCCTCCCTGCATAACGACACAGGGTGGGACAATCCCCCCTCCCTGCATAATGACACAGGGCGGGACAATCCCCCCTCCCTGCATAACGACACAGGGTGGGGCAATCCCCCCTCCCTACATAATGACACAGGGCGGGACAATCCCCCCTCCCTGCATAACGACACAGGGCGGGACAATCCCCCCTCCCTGCATAATGACACAGGGCGGGACAATCCCCCCTCCCTGCATAACGACACAGGGCGGGACAATCCCCCCTCCCTGCATAATGACACAGGGCGGGGCAATCCCTCCTCCCTGCATAATGACACAGGGCGGGGCAATCCCTCCTCCCTGCATAATGACACAGGGCGGGGCAATACCCCCTCCCTGCATAATGACACAGGGCGGGGCAATCCCCCCTCCCTGCATAATGACACAGGGCGGGGCAATCCCCCCTCCCTGCATAATGACACAGGACGGGGCAATCCCTCCTCCCTGCATAATGACACAGGGCGGGGCAATCCCTCCTCCCTGCATAATGACACAGGGCGGGGCAATCCCCCCCCCCTGCATAATGACACAGGACGGGGCAATCCCCCCTCCCTGCATAATGACACAGGACGGGGCAATCCCTCCCCTCCCTGCATAATGACACAGGACGGGGCAATCCCCCCTCCCTGCATAATGACACAGGACGGGGCAATCCCTCCTCCCTGCATAATGACACAGGGCGGGGCAATCCCTCCTCCCTGCATAATGACACAGGGCGGGGCAATCCCCCCCCCCCTGCATAATGACACAGGACGGGGCAATCCCCCCTCCCTGCATAATGACACAGGACGGGGCAATCCCTCCCCTCCCTGCATAATGACACAGGACGGGGCAATCCCCCCTCCCTGCATAATGACACAGGGCGGGGCAATCCCCCCTCCCTGCATAATGACACAGGGCGGGGCAATCCCTCCTCCCTGCATAATGACACAGGACGGGGCAATCCCCCCTCCCTGCATAATGACACAGGACGGGGCAATCCCTCCTCCCTGCATAATGACACAGGACGGGGCAATCCCTCCTCCCTGCATAATGACACAGGACGGGGCAATCCCCCCTCCCTGCATAATGACACAGGGCGGGGCAATCCCCCCTCCCTGCATAATGACACAGGGCGGGGCAATACCCCCTCCCTGCATAATGACACAGGGCGGGGTAATACCCCCTCCCTGCATAATGACACAGGGCGGGGCAAACTACAATTAGTAACAAGAGACACACCAACAAACAGTTCCATCAGGAGGGAGGGCTGCTGGAGACCCCCCCCCCCCCCCTTCCCACCAAGCCAATACACAAACACATACATCCTATAATAGTTTGCTCCCAAGCAAGACACAATGGGATGCACCACATGACACCAAACAATCCACAACCCCCCCCCCCCCCCCACCCAATATTAGGCCAAATCACCCTGCACCCCTAACAGGCACAGGGGGACTTGCACATAAGAGGGATATGGGGAGCTGAGACAGGGGTCTCCCCACCTCTCCAAAGGGGGCTGTGTTCCATGGGCCCCCCGCCCAATGTCACTCCCATCACAGAGCCCCCCCCCCACCCAAAGTCACTCCCGTCACAGAGCCCCCCACCCAAAGTCACTCCCGTCACAGAGCCCCCCCGCCCAAAGTCACTCCCGTCACAGAGCCCCCCCGCCCAAAGTCACTCCCGTCACATTCTGTCCATAGCCTTCCAAACCACATAGGAAGATGGGACGAACGCTGCATTCAAACTTGTTGGTGGATGGGAGGGGGGGGGGGGGAAGGGGTGGAGGGGCTTTATTATGGTGTTGTTGGTTTTTTTTTTGTAGGGGGTGGGTGATGGTTGCACTATCCGAGGTGGGGGGGGGAACATGCTGGAAGGTGTGGCAACACTGTAGATGTACTTTATCTCCGGGGGGGGCTGTTTCTTGTCCATCACAGCGAAGGGTTAATACAATGGCAGACTTGGGGTGTAACAACGGTCCATCTGCACCCTCTGGGCTTCGCACTGATCTGATTGGCTGTCATTTTTTTCAATGATTGGAAATCCCATTCTGCAACATTGTACTCTGGCAATATGTGAGATTCCCCCCCCCCCCCCCACTGAGCGGGTGTGGCCCACCCCGGGGATTGGGACCTGTTCATCATCCATGAATATTCCGTTCCCTGCCCCCGGCCGGCTCGCTGCGAATGGCGTGCTGTGAATATCCGCGCTCCCCGCAGGATTGCTGCATTAGGAAGAATTCTAGTCGGTGACACCAATGAGCCGTCCGCTCCCCGGGGACTCAGCAATGTGTTTGTCTCTGCAGAAGGCCGGGCTCCGGAGAGGAAGAGCGCTGAGATCGTCTTCTGCAGAAGTGAGAAACAATGGCGGCCAAAAGCAGATATTTGTAGGATTGGAGACATTGGATGTATACAGAGAGCCAATCAGAGCGAGGGGCCACATTCTGAACTGATGATGTAGGGCAGGATCACCAAACGGCCACATTCAGCCCACAGCTGGGGTCAGGGACGCACCCGGAATGTGCACTGATTGGGGATTAACGCCTCCATGTCAGATGTAAGGGGGGACTCTGATGGGGACCCTGATGTAAGGGGGGACTCTGATGGGGATCCTGATGTAGGGGGGTGCTCTGATGAGGACCCTGATGTAAGGGGGGGACACTGATGGGGACCCTGATGTAAGGGGGGGACACTGATGGGGACCCTGATGTAAGGGGGGGACCCTGATGGGGATTCTGATGTAAGGGGGGACTCTGATGGGACCCTGATGTAAGGGGGGACTCTGATGGGGATCCTGATGTAAGGGGGGACTCTGATGGGACCCTGATGTAAGGGTTTGGACGAGGCCGTGTGTGTGTACAGATTGTACACAATCTCGTCTCTAAACAGTCCAGCTTGGTTCCAGTAAAGCCGCCCCGGTACTGCATAGTTGGGGGTGGAGCTAAAGGAGATTGTACAATGAAAGGGAAACATTATTAAGTAATTCAGCAACGTAGCCCAACGGTCCATGAAATCCTGGAGTTCCTTCAGCTGGAACCTCACATTTGATGGTGTCTGCATAGTTCTAGATCCAACACAGCTTGTCCACATCAGTGCAATTCTCCATGTGTCTTAGCAGTCTGTAAGGGGGGCACTTGTTCTACTGACCCCCAATGTAAGGGACATTCTTCCCACTGACCACCAATGTAAGGGACATTCTTCCCACTGACCCCCAATGTAAGGGACATTCTTCCCACTGACCACCAATGTAAGGGACATTCTTCCCACTGACCCCCAATGTAAGGGACATTCTTCCCACTGACCACCAATGTAAGGGACATTCTTCCCACTGACCCCCAATGTAAGGGACATTCTTCCCACTGACCACCAATGTAAGGGACATTCTTCCCACTGACCCCCAATGTAAGGGACATTCTTCCCACTGACCTCCAATGTAAGGGACATTCTTCCCACTGATCACCAATGTAAGGGACATTCTTCCCACTGACCCCCAATGTAAGGGACGTTCTTCTCACTGACCACCAATGTAAGGGACATTCTTCCCACTGACCCCCAATGTAAGGGACATTCTTCCCACTGACCACCAATGTAAGGGACATTCTTCCCACTGACCCCAATGTAAGGGACATTCTTCCCACTGACCTCCAATGTAAGGGACATTCTTCCCACTGATCACCAATGTAAGGGACATTCTTCCCACTGATCACCAATGTAAGGGACATTCTTCCCACTGATCACCAATGTAAGGGACATTCTTCCCACTGACCCCCAATGTAAGGGACATTCTTCCCACTGACCCCCCCAATGTAAGGGACATTCTTCCCACTGACCACCAATGTAAGGGACGTTCTTCCCACTGACCCCCAATGTAAGGGACATTCTTCCCACTGACCCCCAATGTAAGGGACATTCCTCCCACTGACCCCCAATGTAAGGGACATTCTTCCCACTGACCCCCAATGTAAGGGACATTCCTCCCACTGACCCCCAATGTAAGGGACATTCTTCCCACTGACCACCAATGTAAGGGACATTCTTCCCACTGACCCCCAATGTAAGGGACATTCTTCCCACTGACCCCCAATGTAAGGGACATTCCTCCCACTGACCCCCAATGTAAGGGACATTCTTCCCACTGACCCCCAATGTAAGGGACATTCTTCCCACTGACCCCCCAATGTAAGGGACATTCTTCCCACTGACCCCCAATGTAAGGGACATTCTTCCCACTGACCCCCAATGTAAGGGACATTCTTCCCACTGACCCCCAATGTAAGGGACATTCTTCCCACTGACCCCCAATGTAAGGGACATTCTTCCCACTGACCCCCCAATGTAGGGGACATTCTTCCCACTGACCTCCAATGTAAGGGACATTCCTCCCACTGACCCCCAATGTAAGGGACATTCTTCCCACTGACCCCCCAATGTAGGGGACATTCTTCCCACTGACCTAATTTTGGGGTTCCTCATGGGGCAGAAGGTTGGGCGGTGCTGAGGTTGACTCTAGTGGTGTGTAGTCATTGGTCGCTCTTAGATTGTAATGTGTGGGCAGCTTGTAGGCATTTTGTATATTGGTCTCCAGATATGATTTTGTCTGGTTTCTGGTTTGGGGTCTTTCCTGTGTTCTGATGATTGAAATGAAATGATGAGATTTGTTATTTTTCTAAATGTTCCAACTGTGAAGAGCAGATCTCTGGAGAGGTGAGGAACCTTCTATATACAATCCAATGTGCAGAGCTGTACAGCCCCCCTGAAGTTGTCACCAAACCTTCCCTTCTGTAGAATTCTGGAGAACAGGAAGTTTTATTTTGAGACCTTTTTGTTGAAGGGCCCCCGATGTTAATTCTTCGTGGCGCGGAGTGTAGATGGTTCATTTCCTGGAGTTATGGAGGAAATCCGCGACCTCCGCTATCTGCATTATGTTTCTGAAGTCGCTTCGGGATGCCAATTTGTGTTTTCAGATTGCTTGAGCCACCTCTGCCGAGGGGTTAATGTCCTGAGATGGGCAGCTTGGTGCCGGGAATGTGGCGGGTCATTGTTGGGGGAGGCTGTCGGATTGGCGTTGCTGTCGGAGGATTCGATGTCTCCATGGCAGTGATGAGGCCAAGCTCGTCATTTGGAGATAGATGAAGACATTTCATGTTCCCTCTATGAAGGTCGGACTGCCGTGGAAGGACATGGAGGACCGTCTGCCTCGAGTTAACTTGTTGGGTGATTTTGTTGCACAGAAACTCCCATCTATTTGCTATAAATGGCGGCATGAAGTAGATCTCTGGCATTAAACGGTATCAAAGCCATTATTTATTTATTTATTTAAATTTTGGAATGCATTCCCACCAGAACCAGCTGCATTGTCATATCTACGGTTCCATCCTGATGAAGGGAGTGTGGGGACCCCGAAACACATTGGCTACATATGTGGAATTTTAGTTAGAATAAAACCTTTTTGCTTGGACTTGGTTTGGGTATGGAGCTCCATTCTTTGTCTCCCATAAACCACCTGGCAGGCTTTGTCCATCTTCGTCCCCATAGGGCAGATTTCTTTACTTCCTGTAGACACAGCAGGAAGTGAGAAGAATTCTTTCTGAAGTGAGGGACACGCCTTCTCGGTAGTTTGTGGAATAAGTGTCTCTATTGGGAAAGCTCCCCTTTCTTTTCTCTTCTGTTTCTTCTGCCCCATTGGAATTGTGGCTGCAAGGTCCAAAAAAAGGGAATATCCTCAGCGGGGCCACATAGAACCTGCCAGGAGTCCTAATGCCTTACCACTCCATCCAAAGCAGAAAGTTGACTGGAAGGCAGCTCAGACCCTTTAAATCAGTGACCACTTTAGTTTGAAAGCGTGGTTGTGTGGTTGTGGCTCGTGGCCCCTGATGTGTCTGCGTATGATGGAGTCCAGTACTTTGATGTTTCTAGATGGTTGATGTTCAGCAATGTTTGTACGTTTTTACCTTCATTGTTGACCTTTTTCTGCTGCCAATGAACTGGTTTAAAACTGGGGTACCCCGAGCCCTGAACAGTACGTTGTGTTCCTCTGGAGTAAGAGGGTTGATCCATCCGTGGAATTTCTAGGTTTGGGTTCTCGGATCTGCAGGTTCACCATCATTACTATCGGCCGCTTCCAGTCTCCATGTTGGGTTTTGAATTTATTTTCAGACAGCAACGCGTGGGGGCAGAGGCAGGAATGGAGAGATTTCACTTTTGGGGTCCCTAACTGACCTTCTCAGCCGTTGGGTCACTCGGCCCACCAGACTCCAGAACAATCTACCATTTCTAAGTGGGCCGACCTATTAGACGTGTATCTCTAGATGAAGAGTCACTGTATTGTGTCTTCACTTCCTGACACAGATATGTTAGAATGGCCCAGTTCTGGTTGATGGTTCTGGTAGTAACATGACAACATGGGGAGCATTTCAGGGGGGAGGAAGACTGTTTCAAGGGTGTGTGTATATATAATATATACACACTATATTGTCCAAAGTATTGTCCCTCCCCTCTCAGTCATGTGATTCAGGTGTTCCAATCCCCTTCCAGTCATGTGATTCAGGTGTTCCCATCCCCTCCATATCATGTGATTCAGGTGTCCCTCCCCTCCATATCATGTGATTCAGGTGTCCCTCCCCTCCCAGTCATGTGATTCAGGTGTCCCTCCCCTCCCAGTCATGTGATTCAGGTGTTCCCATCCCCTCCATATCTTGTAATTCAGGTGTCCCTCCCCTCCCAGTCATGTGATTCAGGTGTCCCTCCCCTCCCAGTCATGTGATTCAGGTGTCCCTCCCCTCCCAGTCACGTGATTCAGGTGTTCCAATCCCCTTCCAGTCACGTGATTCAGGTGTCCCTCCCCTCCCAGTCACGTGATTCAGGTGTCCCAATCCCCACCATATCATGTGATTCAGGTGTTCCAATCCCCTCCATATCATGTGATTCAGGTATTCCAATCCCCTCCGTATCATGTGATTCAGGTGTTCCAATCCCCTCCATGGTCACAGGTGTATACAATCCATCACCTAGGCATGCAGACGGCTTCTACAAACATTGGTGAAAGAATGGGTCGCTCTCAGGAGCTCAGTGACTCCAAGCGTGGTCCCGTGATAGGTGGCCACCTGGGCAATAAGTCCATCCGTGACATTTCCTGGCTACTAAATATTCCACGCTCAACTGTTAGTGGGATTATAACAAAGTGGAAGCCACTGGGAACAACAGCCACTCAGCCACCAAGTGGTAGGCCACGTCACATGACAGGGCGGGGTCAGCGCATGCTGAAGCGCACAGTGCGCAGAAGTCACCAACTGTCTGCAGAGTCAATAGCTAAAGACCTCCAAACTTGGTGTGGCCTTCAGATGAGCCCAACAACAATGCGTAGAGAGCTTCATGGAATGGGTTTCCATGGCCGAGCAGCTGCATCCAAGCCTTCCATCACCAAGTGCAATGCAAAGCGTCGGATGCCGTGGTGTAAAGCACTGGACTCTAGAGCAGGGGAGGCGTATTCTCTGGAGTGACCAATAACGCTTCTTGGATGGACGTGTCTGGGTTTGGCGGTGGCCAGGAGAACGGTACTTGCCTGACTGCATTGTGCCAAGTGTAAAGTTTGGTGGAGGGGGGATTATGGTGTGGGGGTGTTTTTCAGGGGTTGGGTTGGCCCCCTAGTTCCAGTGAAGGGAACTCTTAAGGCAACATTTTGGACAACTTTGTGGGAGGAGTTTGGGGATGGCCCCTTCCTGTTCCAACATGACTGCCCACCAGTGCACAAAGCAAGGTCCATAAAGACATGGAGGAGCCAGTTTGGGGTGGAGGAACTTGACTGTCCTGCACAGAGTCCTGACCTCAACCCCATAGAACACCTTTGGGATGAATTAGAGCGGAGACTGCGAGCCAGGCCTCCTCCCCCGACATCAGTGCCCCTCCCCCGACATCAGTGCCTGACCTGACATCAGTGCCCCTCCCCCGACATCAGTGCCTGACCTGACAAATGTGCTTCTGGAAGAATGGTCCAACCTTCCCATAGACACCCTCCTAAACCTTGTGGACGGCCTTCCCAGAAGAGTTGAAGCTGTTATAGCTGCAAAGGGTGGGGCCAACTCAATATTGAACCCTACGGACTGAGACTGGGGGGCCATTAAAGGTCATGTGTGTGGAAAGGGCGGGGCCAACTCAATATTGAACCCTACGGACTAAGACTGGGGGGGGCATTAAAGGTCATGTGTGTGGAAAGGGCGGGGCCAACTCCATATTGAACCCTACGGACTAAGACTGGGGGGGGCATTAAAGGTCATGTGTGTGGAAAGGGCGGGGCCAACTCCATATTGAACCCTCCGGACTAAGACTGGGGGGGCATTAAAGGTCATGTGTGTGGAAAGGGCGGGGCCAACTCCATATTGAACCCTACGGACTAAGACTGGGGGGCCATTAAAGGTCATGTGTGTGGGGAAGGGCGGGGCCAACTCCATATTGAACCCTACGGACTAAGACTGGGGGACCATTAAAGGTCATGTGTGTGGAAAGGGCGGGGCCCAATACCTGGGGCAATATAGTGTGTGTGTGTTTTGTATACTTCTTTTTTTTTCTATTAACCCCCCCTTTACTGTTGCACCCATTTGTGGCCCCCTTTCCCCTCCCTGTATACCACAAGCAGTATAAACCTTCCTGGGGCTCATCGCTATTCCTAACGTTTGTAAACAAATGATGATACAATGTTTGGAGATTTGGTATTCCACCCCAAAGCGAACATTTCTTTTATTGCAGATTACTGATTCTTACATGTGATGGTTGCATTAGTTTTCTTGTTTAGGTTTTCTTTCCTTTTTTTTTCTCCTGGTTATCCGGCCAGTAAGTGTCCTGCAGATGTAGCAGTTAGAGGGATGAGACAGACTATTGACTTCTGACAGGAGTGCACACAATGATCAGTTTATTGAGGTAAAACCTTTTCTAATCTGTTACAGAAAGAGTTTTTGTTCCTTTGGGGATAGAGTGCGTGTTGGAGTTCGGCTTCAACGTGTTAGTGTATCTAAATCTGCTAGTCCAGCTAACACGCCCCTCCCCCCCCCCCCCCAGACAGACAATTTTGTGCCTCCTGTGCTCCTTCCTCCAGAGTGGGGGCGCTCTAATAAATGAGGTGTGTAACTGGCCGGATCACCAGGTGAGAACAGAAGGAAAAGCCTGAAAATAGAAAACGAATGCAGCCGCCATATCTAATGATCAGTAAGATGGACATTGCTGGTTTTGGGGTTCATACCGATTGAAGAATTCTCTTTGTTCTCAGTTGAGTCGCATGGCGCTCGGTCTTGTCAGGAGTAAAGCGTGGGGGGCTCAGGAGCGCAGGGGGTTCAGGAACAGGGGGCAGGGTCTCGGGAGCACGGGGGCGGGGTCTCAGGAGCACAGGGGGCGGGGTCTCAGGAGCATGGGGGCGGGGGTCTCAGGAGCAAGAGGGCGGGTCTCAGGAGCGAGGGGGGCAGGGCTCAGGAGCACAGGGACGGGTCTCAGGAGCGAGGGGGCGGGGCTCAGGAGCACGGGGGCGGGGTCTCAGGAGCACGGGGGCGGGGTCTCAGGAGGGCGGGGGCGGGGATGAAAGTCTGTGATGTTCATGTTGGTCTTTTGTTCCTTTTTATCTCATTGCCTGTTCAGAAGAGGCGGCATGTAGGTATCGCCCGTCATGTAGGTATCGCCCGTCATGTAGGTATCGCCCGCCATGTAGGTATCGCCCGCCATGTAGGTATCGCCCGCCATGTAGGTATCGCCCGCCCCGCTCCTCATCTGCATGCCTTGAAGCGTAGCATCTCGCTTTAGAAATGCGTCCGCCGCGTCTCATTCTACCTGATAATCGCATCAGAAACAGCCGGCTTATTGCACTCGGCACCGCAAGAATGAAGCCGCAACACACCGCGTCATGCGGGTAAAAGATGGCTTCTGATTGGCTGGCTGCTGTGGGCGCCATTCTCTGCGGTGCGAAATAAGCCAAATAATATCTCCTCACTCCAGTCCAGGATTAACCGAGACCCGACCACCCATCCCCCCCCTCCCCTCCCCCCATCTCCCCCCAGAATACTTAGACTTCATATTCCTCGAATGCATGACCACTTACCTGCAGCTACCAACCCGCCTCTCACAATTCTTTTCTTTTCCAATCCCTTCCATTGGCTGTTCTGCTCCTCAGGGGACGTCCTCTTCCAAATGGCAGAAGTTCACCGGCAGATCCAGAACCAGCTGGAGGAAATGGTAAGTGAAAGTATCATTCATATTGTTATTTATAACAGAAATCTTACAATTTTATTTAAAATTTTGGAGGGGAGGGCGGGGGGACCAGAGGGGAGGGCGGGGGACTGGGCTGGAGAGGAGGGCTGGGGACCAGAGGGGAGGGATGGGGACCAGAGGGGAGGGATGGGGACCAGAGGGGAGGGCTGGGGACCAGAGGGGAGGGCGGGGGAGGGCTGGGGACCAGAGGGGAGGGCTGGGGACCAGAGGGGAGGGGCTGGGGACCAGAGGGGAGGGCTGGGGACCAGAGGGGAGGGCAGGAGACTGGTCCAGAGGGGAGGGCTGGGGACTAGGCTGGAGGGGAGGGGTGGGGTGCAGGGGGACTGGTCTAGAGGGGAGGGCGGGGGACCAGAGGGGAGGGCGGGGGGAGGGCTGGAGGGGAGGGCTGGGGACCAGAGGGGAGGAGGGCGGGGGACTGGGCTGGAGGGGAGGGCGGGGGACCAGAGGGGAGGGCTGGGGACCAGAGGGGAGGGCTGGGGACCAGAGGGGAGGGCAGGAGACTGGTCCAGAGGGGAGGGCTGGGGACTGGGCTGGAGGGGAGGGGTGGGGTGCAGGGGACTGGTCTAGAGGGGAGGGCGGGGGACCAGAGGGGAGGGCGGGGGAGGGGCTGGAGGGGAGGGCGGGGGGACCAGAGGGGAGGGCGGGGGACCAGAGGGGAGGGCTGGGGACCAGAGGGGAGGGCTGGGGACCAGAGGGGAGGGCAGGAGACTGGTCCAGAGGGGAGGGCAGGAGACTGGTCCAGAGGGGAGGGCTGGGGACTGGGCTGGAGGGGAGGGGTGGGGTGCAGGGGACTGGTCTAGAGGGAGGGCGGGGGCGGGGGACCAGAGGGGAGGGCGGGGGGGACTGGGCTGGAGGGGAGGGGTGGAGGGCAGGAGACTGGTCCGGAGGGGGGGAGGGCGGGGGACCAGAGGGGAGGGCGGGGGACTGGGCTGGAGGGGAGGGGGGTGGAGGGCAGGAGACTGGTCCGGAGGGGAGGGCGGGGGACCAGAGGGGAGGGCAGGGGACTGGGCTGGAGGGGAGGGGTGGGGACCAGAGGGGAGGGCGGGGGACTGGGCTGGAGGGGAGGGGTGGAGGGCAGGAGACTGGTCCGGAGGGGAGGGCGGGGGACCAGAGGGGAGGGCAGGGGACTGGTCCGGAGGGGAGGGCGGGGGGGGGGACCAGAGGGGAGGGCAGGGGACTGGGCTGGAGGGGAGGGGTGGGGACCAGAGGGGAGGGCAGGGGACTGGGCTGGAGGGGAGGGGTGGGGTGCAGGGGACTGGTCTAGAGGGGAGGGCTGGGGACCAGAGGGGAGGGGGCAGGGGACTGGGCTGGAGGGGAGGGGTGGGGTGCAGGGGACTGGTCTAGAGGGGAGGGCTGGGGACCAGAGGGGAGGGCAGGGGACTGGGCTGGAGGGGAGGGGTGGGGTGCAGGGGACTGGTCTAGAGGGGAGGGCGGGGGGGGACCAGAGGGGAGGGCAGGGGACTGGGCTGGAGGGGAGGGGTGGAGGGCAGGAGACTGGTCCGGAGGGGAGGGCGGGGGACCAGAGGGGAGGGCAGGGGACTGGGCTGGAGGGGAGGGGAGGGCGGGGGGGACCAGAGGGGAGGGCTGGGGACTGGGGCTGGGGGAGGGGAGGGGAGGGCGGGGGACCAGAGGGGAGGGCAGGGGACTGGGCTGGAGGGGAGGGGAGGGGTGGGGACCAGAGGGGAGGGCTGGGGACTGGGCTGGAGGGGAGGGGTGGGGTGCAGGGGGACTGGTCTAGAGGGGAGGGCTGGGGACCAGAGGGAAGGGCAGGGGACTGGACTGGAGGGGAGGGGTGGAGGGCAGGAGACTGGGCTGGAGGGGAGGGCTGGGGACCAGACCGTAGGGGAGGGCGGGGGAGCACACGGTGGGGATAGGTGGGGGGGCGGGGGACCAGAGGGGAGGGGTGGGGTGCAGGGGACTGGTCTAGAGGGGGAGGGCTGGGGGACTGGGCTGGAGGGGAGGGGTGGAGGGGTGGAGGGCAGGAGACTGGTCCGGAGGGGAGGGGGGTGGGGACCAGACCGTAGGGGAGGGCGGGGGAGCACACAATGGGGATAGGTGGGGGGCGGGGGACCAGAGGGGAGGGGTGGGGGGAGTGGGGAACCCTTCCTTATTCTATGGAAAATACTTTTGCGGTTTAGTTTTACTTTATGACAAATGTGAGGCGATGTGAAGATCGGCCGACAAAAATCTCGTTGCGCGTTTCATAAAACGTTATACAATGTTGTCCCGTGATGATCCATTGTGCAGCGCTGCCCCGGGATTGGCGCGGTTCTGCATTGCCCCGGGATTGGCGCGGTTCTGCCTTGCCCCAGCATTGGCGCGGTTCTGCGTTGCCCCGGGATTGGCGCGGTTCTGCCTTGCCCCGGGATTGGCGCGGTTCTGCCTTGCCCCGGGATTGGCGCGGTTCTGCGTTGCCCCGGGATTGGCGCGGTTCTGCCTTGCCCCGGGATTGGCGCGGTTCTGCGTTGCCCCGGGATTGGCGCGGTTCTGCATTGCCCGCTGCTGGATTGCGGTGTGGATTTTCGGTGTCGGTCTTCCTGGCCGCTCGATGAATCCTGACAGTTCAGTAGATGTTGCTCGGCCCCCCCCCTCCCTCTTCTTCCCACCTGCCGATCTGTGTGTCTGCTCCTTCTCCATATGTGCCGCCATCTGTTACCCCCCCCCCCCATCCCTCCGTCACACTTCAGCCTCATCCTTCCGGGCAGACCTGTCAGCACTTCGTATTCCTGCCCTGGACTCCGCCGCCGCGAGCCGATAAATCTGCGTCAGGGACTGGCACGCTTGCTGCTGATCTCATGACAAATGTGCAGCCAAGACCCCCGTGGTGTCCAAGACCTGCATGGAGGGCGCTGCATGGAGGACGCTGCATGGAGGACGCTCCTCACCCCTCCAAAACAGGAAAATATCCGAAGAGTTGTGCTGAGCTTTTGGCTTTTTGTTTCCTTCTGAAGCTATAAAGTATTGTGTGTGAATATCAGACATACCAGCATCAGGAGAGATCAGACTACACACCCAGCACACAGCCATCCTACAGAGTCCGAGACCCCCCCCCCCCCCCCCACCTTGTGCTCAATGTCAGATTATTTTATACAGATATTTATATGGAGTCATTTTATAAAATTAAAAATAAACAATTTAGGGGAATACAATGAAGGAAATGTGTATTTGCCCCCCCCCGATGGTGAATGTTCGCCCCTCACACAGAAACGATCGGTCTAACAATGGAATGTTCGCCCCTCACACAGAAATGATCGGTCTAACAATGGAATGTTCGCCCCTCACACAGAAACGATCGGTCTAACAATGGAATGTTCGCCCCTCACACAGAAACGATCGGTCTAACAATGGAATGTTCACCCCCTCACACAGAAACGATCGGTCTAACAATGGAATGTTCGCCCCTCACACAGAAATGATCGGTCTAACGATGGAATGTTCGCCCCTCACACAGAAATGATCGGTCTAACAATGGAATGTTCGCCCCTCACACAGAAATGATCGGTCTAACAATGGAATGTTCGCCCCTCACACACAGAAATGATCGGTCTAACAATGGAATTGTTCGCCCTCACACAAACGATCGGTCTAACAATGGAATGTTCGCCCCTCACACAGAAATGATCGGTCTAACAATGGAATGTTCACCCCTCACACAGAAATGATCGGTCTAACAATGGAATGTTCGCCCCTCACACAGAAACGATCGGTCTAAACAATGGAATGTTCGGTGTAACACTGAGAGACAGAATACAACAACAAATTCAGCAGAAATGCGTCTAACAAATGATGACGGATCTGCATGTTCATGAGGGAAAGAAGGATTTGATCCCCTATCATTCAGCAGGATTTCTGGCTCCCAGGTGTCTCTCATACAGGTAACAAGCTGAGATTAGAAGCAGTCTCTTAAAGGGAGTGCTGCTAATCTCATTGTGTTTCCTGTATAAAAGACACCTGTCCACAGGAGCAATCAAACCATCAGATTCCAAACTCTCCACCATGGCAAAGACCAAAGAGCTGTCCAAGGATGTCAGGGACAAGATGGTAGACCTACACAAGGCTGGACTGGGCTACCAAACTATGGCCAAGCAGCTTGGTGAGAAGGTGACAACAGTTGGTGCAATCATTCACAAATGGAAGAAACACAAAACAAGTGTCAGTCTCCCTAGGTCTGGTGCACCATGCAAGATCTCACCTCGTGGAGTGTCAATGATCATGAGAACAGTGAGGAATCATCCCAGAACTACACGTGAGGATCTTGTCAATGATCTCCAGGCAGCTGGGACCACAGTCACCAAGAAAACAATTGGTAACACACTACGCCGACAAGGACTGAAATCCTGCAGTGCCCGCACGGTCCCTCTGCTCAAAAAGCCCATGTCCAGGCCCGTCTGATGTCTGCCACTGAACATCTGAATGATGCCGAGGAGGACTGGTGGGAAGTGTTGTGGTCAGAGGAGACCAAAATCCAGCTCTTTGGCATCAACTCAACTCACCATGTTTGGAGGAGGAGGAATGCTGCCTATGACCCCGAGAACACCATCCCAACTGTGAAACATGGTGGTGGAAACATTCTGCTTTGGGGGGGGGGTTCTGCTAAGGGGACAGGACAACTGCACTGCATCAAAGGGACGATGGACGGGGCAATGTACCCTCAAATCTTGGGTGAGAACCTTCTTCCCTCAGCCAGGGCATTGAAAATGGGTGGTGGATGGGTGTTCCAGCATGACAATGACCCAAAACACACGGCCAAGGCAACAAAGGAGCGGCTCAAGAAGAAGCACATTAAGGTCCTGGAGTGGCCTAGCCAGTCTCCAGACCTTCATCCGATGGAAAATCTGTGGAGGGAGCTGAAAGTTCGAGTTGCCAAACGTCAGCCACCAAACCTTAATGACTTGGAGAGGATCTGCCAAGAGGAGTGGGCCAAAATCCCTCCTGAGATGTGTGCGAACCTGGGGGCCAACTCCAGGAAACTTCTGACCTCTGTGATGGCCAACAAGGGATTGGCCACCAAGTACTAAGTCATGTTTTGTGAAGGGGGTCAAATCCTTCTTTCCCTCATGAACATGCAGATCCGTCATCATTTGTTAGACGCATTTCTGCTGAATTTGTTGTTGTATTCTGTCTCTCAGTGTTACACTGAACATTCCATTGTTAGACCGATCGTTTCTGTGTGAGGGGCGAACATTCCATTGTTAGACCGATCATTTCTGTGTGAGGGGCGAACATTCCATTGTTAGACCGATCATTTCTGTGTGTGAGGGGCGAACATTCCATTGTTAGACCGATCGTTTCTGTGTGAGGGGCGAACATTCCATTGTTAGACCGATCATTTCTGTGTGAGGGGCGAACATTCCATTGTTTAGACCGATTGTTTCCGTGTGAGGGGCGAACATTCCATTGTTAGACCGATCATTTCTGTGTGAGGGGCGAACATTCCATTGTTAGACCGATTGTTTCCGTGTGAGGGGCGAACATTCCATTGTTAGACCGATCATTTCTGTGTGAGGGGCGAACATTCCATTGTTAGACCGATCATTTCTGTGTGAGGGGGCGAACATTCCATTGTTAGACCGATCATTTCTGTGTGAGGGGCGAACATTCCATTGTTAGACCGATCATTTCTGTGTGAGGGGCGAACATTCCATTGTTAGACCGATCATTTCTGTGTTGAGGGGCGAACATTCCATTGTTAGACCGATCATTTCTGTGTGAGGGGCGAACATTCCATTGTTAGACCGATCGTTTTCTGTGTGAGGGGCGAACATTCCATTGTTAGACCGATCATTTCTGTGTTCACCGTCAGGGGGGAGCAAATACACATTTCCTGCACTGTACTTTTTCTTTTTTTTTTATATGAAATTTTATATAAAAATTATCTCTAAATCATATATTCCACAAATACTAATTTATATAAAATGTGATATAAATACGTGTTTTTATAAATGGATGCAGCCTCTCATCCAAATCGTAGGTGTGTGGGTGAGCGACCCCCCAATGCACACGGTTTCTGTTCAGGACCTGCAACTGCTGCCAGCTGGAAGACTTGAGTGACGGCCAGCTTGCAGTACCTGGCGGTTGAAGCTGCATAGACCCCCCCCCCCCCCCCACCCAATCACAAACTACGGGTCTCTGCAGCCATGTGAATGAGCCCTAATCTCTCCCAACGCACATCCATGTACACGCACATCCATGTACACGCACATCCATGTACACGCACATCCATGTACACGCACATCCATGTACACGCACATCCATGTACACGCACATCCAGTCCTTCACCTTCTTCCAGTGGCTGTGTATTTGCTCCTCTGTACGGTGGATATGGGAAATTACTGCTTGGAAATGCAGGTTTTTGGGGTTTTTTGGGGTTTTTTTTATCGCTGCACCTGTTTTTTATATTTAAAAAAAAAAAACAAACAAATCCATGACGCTACAAATCTAGAATGCGTTGTGTTCTCCCCGTGTGCTGGAGGCCGTCCGGGTCCTCTGGTCTCGGTATGTCTTGTGTCACAGATTAATAGATCCGTCTCTTTGCAGCTGAAATCCTTCCACAACGAATTGCTGACACAGCTGGAGCAGAAGGTGGAGCTGGACGCTCGCTACCTGAATGTAAGTTCTCATTGCTATACCCCCCCCCCTTACTCTGCCCTCCTGACCCCCCCCCCCCCCGTACTGTGCCCTCCTGACTCCCCCCGTACTCTGCCCTCCTGACCCCCCCCCCCCCCCCCCCCCCCCGTACTGTGCCCTCCAGACTCCCCCCTGTACTCTGCCCTCCTGACCCCCCCCCCCCCCGTACTCTGCCCTCCTGACCCCCCCCCCCCGTACTCTGCCCTCCTGACCCCCCCCCCCCCCCCCGTACTGTGCCCTCCAGACTCCCCCCCTGTACTCTGCCCTCCAGACTCCCCCCTGTACTCTGCCCTCCAGACTCCCCCCTGTACTCTGCCCTCCAGACTCCCCCCTGTACTCTGCCCTCCTGACCCCCCCCCCCCGTACGTACTCTGCCCTCCTGACCCCCCCCGTACTCTGCCCTCCTGACCCCCCCCGTACTCTGCCCTCCTGACCCCCCCCGTACTCTGCCCTCCTGACCCCCCCCCGTACTCTGCCCTCCTGACTCCCCCTGTACTGTGCCCTCCTGACTCCCCCCTGTACTGTGCCCTCCTGACTCCCCCCTGTACTGTGCCCTCCTGACTCCCCCTGTACTGTGCCCTCCTGACTCCCCCCCCCCGTACTCTGCCCTCCTGACTCCCCTGTACTGTGCCCTCCTGACTCCCCCCGTACTGTGCCCTCCTGACTCCCCCCGTACTGTGCCCCCCTCCAGACTCCCCTCTGTACTGAGCCCTCCAGACTCCCCCCTGCACTGTGCTCTCCTGACTCCCCCTGTACTGTGCCCTCCTGACTCCCCCCTGTACTGTGCCCTCCTGACTCCCCCTGTACTGTGCCCTCCTGACTCCCCCCTGTACTGTGCCCTCCTGACTCCCCCCTGTACTGTACCCTCCTGACTCCCCCTGTACTGTGCCCTCCTGACTCCCCCCCCCCGTACTGTGCCCCCCTCCTGACTCCCCCCCGTACTGTGCCCCCCCTCCTGACTCCCCCCGTACTGTGCCCCCCCTCCTGACTCCCCCCGTACTGTGCCCCCCTCCTGACTCCCCCTGTACTGGCCCTCCTGACTCCCCCCTGTACTGTGCCCTCCTGACTCCCCCCTGTACTGTGCCCTCCTGACTCCCCCCTGTACTGTGCCCTCCTGACTCCCCCCTGTACTGTGCCCTCCTGACTCCCCCTGTACTGTGCCCTCCTGACTCCCCCCTGTACTCTGCCCTCCTGACTCCCCCCTGTACTGTGCCCTCCTGACTCCCCCTGTACTGTGCCCTCCTGAACACCCCCCCCACCCTGTACTGTGCCCTCCTGATCCCCCCTGTACTGTGCCCTCCTGACTCCCCCTGTACTGTGCCCTCCTGACTCCCCCTGTACTGTGCCCTCCTGACTCTCCCTGTACTGTGCCCTCCCTGAACACCCCCCCCCCCCACCCTGTACTGTGCCCTCCTGATCCCCCCTGTACTGTGCCCTCCTGATCCCCCCTACTGTGCCCTCCTGACTCCCCCTGTACTGTGCCCTCCTGACTCCTCTGTACTGTGCCCTCCTGACTCCCCCCTGTACTGTGCCCAGGCCTGACTCCCCCCGTACTGTGCCCTCCTGACTCCCCCTGTACTGTGCCCTCCTGACCCCCCTGTACTGTGCCCTCCTGACTCCCCCCGTACTGTGCCCTCCTGACTCCCCCCGTACTGTGCCCTCCTGACTCCCCCTGTACTGTGCCCTCCTGACTCCCCCTGTACTGTGCCCTCCTGACTCCCCCTGTACTGTGCCCTCCTGACTCCCCCTGTACTGTGCCCTCCTGACTCCCCCTGTACTGTGCCCTCCTGACCCCCCCCCTGTACTGTGCCCTCCTGAACACCCCCCCCCCCCCCACCCTGTACTGTACCCCTCCTGACAAGTAGGACCCTTTTCATAATGGCACTCAGAACACAAGGTGGGGGTCGCATCGTCTGAACCCCTTCAATAGGAACAATCAATATCTAGCCTGTCATGTGATATCTGAGTCTCAGAACAAGTCCAGAACGGCTCGTGTGACCAGGGAGGTTCCATTCACATCTCGGAACGCAGCAGAATCGCTGTGATTGCAAAACAGGTTCAGGTTTCATTATTTTTAATGGCTCCTAAAATGTGGTGCAGTTTTTCCATGATTGTGGTGTGGCAGATCGCACCCCGTGACGTCCCAGGCGTTACCCACGCAATGCTAAATTAGGGGCCTAACTTTCTTAGCTCCCTCCTACATTCACATTTGTCACTCCCGGCCCACAAGGTTCCCAGGCTGAAGGCAGTCAAAGGAAACCAACAGATCGTAGAAGGATTCAAGTCCTTTCCAGTTCTTCTGGGGGGGTGGCATTGTTGTAAATCTTCCTGGGGCCTCCAGGTGGACCAGCCAGGATCCTATAAGGCACTGGAGGAACCACCAATGTAGGATGCCCAAATCACACCTCAGAATGGAACCTCTACCTTCTAACTGCCCCAAGTCTTAGAGAAGATGAATGGAAGTTTCATGGAATTATTTCTTTTACTACATGTATAGATTGGGCTAATTTATAGAGCCATCGAGCCGTCTCAGGGATACAAAATATGTAAGCAGGTCCCTCAGCTGCAGAGAATGCATCTGTTTTCTAGAACCTGGCTCCATCATAACCACCCCTTCCCTTATCCAAGGTCTGGCTCCATCTTGGTACACCTGCTCCTTCTCTCTATGACCTGGCACCATCTTGGTACACCTACTTCTCACTGAAACATGACACCATCTTGATATTACTGCCCCTTCTCTCTGCATGCTGGCCCCATCTTGGTACACCTGCTACTTCTCACTTGAGCCTGGCACCATCATTACACCCCCACTCTTCCTCTCCATGATCTGGCACCATCATTACACCCCCACTCTTCCTCTCCATGATCTGGCACCATCATTACACCCCCACTCTTCCTCTCCATGATCTGGCACCATCATTACACCCCCACTCTTCCTCTCCATGATCTGGCACCATCATTGCACCCTCACTCTTCCTCTCCATGATCTGGCACCATCATTGCACCCTCACTCTTCCTCTCCATGATCTGGCACCATCATTGCACCCTCACTCTTCCTCTCCATGATCTGGCACCATCATTGCACCCTCACTCTTCCTCTCCATGATCTGGCACCATCATTGCACCCCCACTCTTCCTCTCCATGATCTGCACCATCATTGCACCCCCACTCTTCCTCTCCATGATCTGGCACCATCATTGCACCCCCACTCTTCCTCTCCACTCTTCCTCTCCATGATCTGGCACCATCATTGCACCCCCACTCTTCCTCTCCACGATCTGGCACCATCATTGCACCCCCACTCTTCCTCTCCACTCTTCCTCTCCATGATCTGGCACCATCATTGCACCCCCACTCTTCCTCTCCACTCTTCCTCTCCACTCTTCCTCTCCATGATCTGGCACCATCATTGCACCCCCACTCTTCCTCTCCACGATCTGGCACCGTAATTGCACCCCCACTCTTCCTCTCCACGATCTGGCACCATCATTGCACCCCCACTCTTCCTCTCCATGATCTGGCACCATCATTGCACCTCCACTCTTCCTCTCCATGATCTGGCACCATCATTGCACCCCCACTCTTCCTCTCCATGATCTGGCACCATCATTGCACCCCCACTCTTCCTCTCCATGATCTGGCACCATCATTGCACCCCCACTCTTCCTCTCCATGATCTGGCACCATCATTGCACCTCCACTCTTCCTCTCCATGATCTGGCACCATCATTGCACCCCCACTCTTCCTCTCCATGATCTGGCACCATAATTGCACCCCCACTCTTCCTCTCCATGATCTGGCACCATCATTGCACCCCCACTCTTTCTCTCCATGACCTGACTCCATCTTTGTACCCCCCCTCTCCTCTGCATGATCTGGCACCATCATTGCACCCCCACTCTTCCTCTCCATGATCTGGCACCATCATTGCACCCCCACTCTTCCTGTCCATGAGCTGACTCCATCTTTGTACCCCCACTCTTTTCCTCTCCATGATCTGGCACCATCATTGCACCCCCACTCTTCCTCTCCATGATCTGGCACCATCATTGCACCCCCACTCTTCCTCTCCATGATCTGGCACCATCATTGCACCCCCACTCTTCTTCTGTCCATGAGCTGACTCCATCTTTGTAGCCCCACTCTTCCTCTCCATGATCTAGCACCATCCATTGCACCCCCCCTCTTCCTGTCCATGAGCTGACTCCATCTTTGTACCCCCACTCTTCCTCTCCATGATCTGGCACCATCATTGCACCCCCACTCTTCCTCTCCATGATCTGGCACCATCATTGCACCACCATTGCACCCCCACTCTTCCTCTCCATGATCTGGCACCATCATTGCACCCCCACTCTTCCTGTCCATGAGCTGACTCCATCTTTGTACCCCCACTCTTCCTCTCCATGATCTGGCACCATCATTGCACCCCCCCCCTCTTCCTCTCCATGAGCTGACTCCATCTTTGTACCCCCACTCTTCCTCTCCATGATCTGGCACCATCATTGCACCCCCCCTCTTCCTGTCCATGAGCTGACTCCATCTTTGTACCCCCATTCTTCCTTCCAATGAGCTGGCACCATCTTGGTACACTTATTTTGTGGCTTCTTACACTCTCCATTGTCAGCAGGCTGCGTTAAAGAAATACCAGCTGGAGCAGAAGAACAAAGGAGACGCCTTAGAGAAGTGTCAGCTGGAGCTGAGGAAACTGCGCAAAAAGAGCCAGGGCAGCAAAAACCCCCAAAAAATATTCTGACAAAGAGATGCAGGTGAGATTTCTGCCTTATTTATTTATTTTTTTAATATACGAAGCAAAAAAGCCCCGAATCATACTAAAAACGTCCATAATTTGTTCTGTTCTAGTGGTATGACTGGGAATGTGATTTGAAAAGGAAAAAATTGAGGTGTGGAAAACTAAAGCGTCCAATAAATGTGTGGAATATAAAATATGAAATATTACATATCAGTCAGCAGGTGGAGCTGTAGGCACATTTTCATGGTTTCCTGCTTCTCCTCACATCCTTTGGTGCAAAAAGCTTGTTGTTTATAAAGATCAGAAACTGATGAGTGAATGAGGAACCTTCCCTTATTGGACTGTTCCGTAGGCACTGGCCATCCCTTATTGGACTGCTCCGTAGGCACTGGCCATCCCTTATTGGACTGTTCCGTAGGCACTGGCCATCCCTTATTGGACTGCTCCGTAGGCACTGGTCATCCCTTATTGGACTGCTCCGTAGGCACTGGCCATCCCTTATTGGACTGTTCCGTAGGCACTGGTCATCCCTTATTGGACTGTTCCGTAGGCACTGGCCATCCCTTATTGGACTGCTCCGTAGGCACTGGCCATCCCTTATTGGACTGCTGTGTAGGCACTGGCCATTCCTTATTGGACTGCTCTGTAGGCACTGGCCATCCCTTATTGGACTGCTCCGTAGGCACTGGCCATCCCTTATTGGACTGCTCCGTAGGCACTGGCCATCCCTTATTGGACTGCTGTGTAGGCACTGGCCATCCCTTATTGGACTGCTCCGTAGGCACTGGCCATCCCTTATTGGACTGCTCCGTAGGCACTGGCCATCCCTTATTGGACTGCTCCGTAGGCACTGGCCATCCCTTATTGGACTGTTCCGTAGGCACTGGCCATCCCTTATTGGACTGCTCTGTAGGCACACCTGTGCGAGGCCGGGGGGGAGGAACCGGAACACCTGTGCGAGGCTGGAGGGGGGGGAGCCGGCACACCTGTGCGAGGCTGGAGGGGGGGGAGCCGGCACACCTGTGCGAGGCTGGAGGGGGGGGAGCCGGCACACCTGTGCGAGGCTGGAGGGGGGGGGGGGGGGAGGAGCCGGCACACCTGTGCGAGGCTGGAGGGGGGGGGGGAGCCGGCACACCTGTGCGAGGCTGGAGGGGGGGGGGGGGAGCCGGAACACCTGTGCGAGGCTGGAGGGGGGGGGGGGGGGGGGAGCCGGAACACCTGTGCGAGGCTGGAGGGGGGGGGGGGGAAGGGGGGGGGGGAGCCGGCACACCTGTGCGAGGCTGGAGGGGGGGGGGGGGGGGGGGGCCGGCACACCTGTGCGAGGCTGGAGGGGGGGGGGGGGAGCCGGCACACCTGTGCGAGGCTGGAGGGGGGGGGGGGGGGGGGAGCCGGCACACCTGTGCGAGGCTGGAGGGGGGTGGGGAGCCGGCACACCTGTGCGAGGCTGGAGGGGGGGGGGGGAGCCGGCACACCTGTGCGAGGCTGGAGGGGGGGGGGAGCCGGCACACCTGTGCTAGGCTGGAGGCAGGGCCGGAGTTCTGCTTTAGGAACGGACCCTGTGCTGGGTGAGGCGGCCGGTGGCTATAAGCCGGTCTGGGTGTGAAGTGGTCCTCCTGGCCGGGCCGAGGCTCAGGGCAGCAGATGGAAGTACATAAGTAGGTGATTATGTGGGCGGATTATGGTGGGGGGATCATTCATATTTAAATAGCGTTGGACTCCTAATTGGTCCCTTAATTCAGGAGGACGTTGTGGGGGCCAACTCCACTCTGCTCTCCCGATTGGTCCTTTCACTGACCAGGTGACCGCAGAGGCTGAATATTTCATTGTGTTTTGTTTTAGATGGTGGAGATTTATCTACAGACTGTTCAAAGCTCCCGGGAGGGGGGGGCACAGACTGCTTAGGTGAATCCCCCATGGGGGGGGGCACAGACTGCTCAGGTGAATCCCCCATGGGGGGGGGGGGGGGGGCACAGACTGCTCAGGTGAATCCCCCATAGGGGGGGGGGCACAGACTGCTTAGGTGAATCCCCCATGGGGGGGGGGCACAGACTGCTCAGGTGAATCCCCCATGGGGGGGGCACAGACTGCTCAGGTGAATCCCCCATGGGGGGGGCACAGACTGCTCAGGTGAATCCCCCATGGGGGGGCACAGACTGCTCAGGTGAATCCCCCATGGGGGGGGCACAGACTGCTCAGGTGAATCCCCCATGGGGGGGGCACAGACTGCTCAGGTGAATCCCCCATGGGAGGGGTACAGACTGCTCAGGTGAATTCCCCATGGGGGGGGGGGGGCAGAGACTGCTCAGGTGAATCCCCCCATGGGGGGGGGCACAGACTGCTCAGGTGAATCCCCCATGGGGGGGGGCACAGACTGCTCAGGTGAATCCACTATTGTGGGGGGCACAGACTGGTCAGGTGAATCTCCTGTGGTGGTGGTGTGGGGGGGGGGGGGGGCAGAGACTGGTTAGGTGAATCTCCTGGGGGGGGGGGGCACAATCCATCTTTCAGGGTTTGGAATAGAGGTGGGGGAGGAAGGGGGTCAGTAGAAGCCCGGAATGTGCCTATGTGATGGTGGGAAGTGAAGCCAGGAGTCCAGCGCTGCAGACAGCAATGCCAGGCACTGGGGCTTTGTGCCATCCATGTTGATCTGTTTTCCATGTGATTGGCCCCTTGGCATACAGATATTTGGGGTGTTTTGTAGCCCCGCTTGCTGTGGGTTGCATTGCTCCCTGTAGTCCCCCAAGGACAAGCTTGGCATTCCATGGTACCAGGTCACACCAGTGCCCAGCCGTGGGGATGAACTCCAGGCACACGGCTAGATCTAATGTATGCAAGGGAGCTGCTTTAGCAGCTGAAGGATTTTATTTGTCCATACAGTCCTGACATTTATACAGCTCTGCTCCTGAACATTACATGTGCTGCATACTGTATGTGGGCTCGTTAGGGATTTTGACCAACTGTACTGTAAATGGCGAATTCCACCCAAATCCACACCTCATTCTGAGTGTATGGTAGTCCCCTGGTTCTCCAGGGTTTCCTAGAGCCCCTGAACAACCCATATACTGAATATAATGTGTGGCCCCTCAATAATGTCTGGGCCTGCAGTGGAGAATTCCACCCATAGCCACCCTTTGTTCTCCAGAGTGTTCTGAAACATCGAAGCATTACATATTGTGCGGCCCCTCAGTGATGTCAGGGTCTGCAGTTAAGTCCCCCAATACCTCAAAGGTTGATATTAACAAGGGGCCACACATAGTAGGCAATGTTCATGGGTCGCAGGAACACCCTGGATGGAAAAGGAGGGGCCTTATACACCCAGAGGGGGGGGGGGTACAGGTGGAATGCTCGGAGTGTATGGAAGTCCCGTTGTTCTCCAGGGTGTTGAGGTACCCCTAAAAATGTGTGGTGGCCATATGGCCTTTCATGGTACCACCAAGGGAGGAAAATGTGTGGTGGAGGCCATATGGCCTTTCATGGTACCACCAAGAGAGGAAAATGTGTGGTGGAGGCCATGTGGCCTTTCATGGTACTACCATGGGAAGAAGATGTGTGGTGGAAGCCATGTGGCCTTTCATGGTACTACCATGGGAAGAAGATGTGTGGTGGAAGCCATGTGGCCTTTCATGGTACCACCATGGGAAGAAGATGTGTGGTGGAGGCCATGTGTCCTTTCATGGTACCACCATGGGAAGAAGATGTGTGGTGGAAGCCATGTGGCCTTTCACGGTACCAACATGGGAAGAAGATGCGTGGTGGAGGCCATGTGGCCTTTCACGGTACCACCATGGGAAGAAGATGCGTGGTGGAAGCCATGTGGCCTTTCACGGTACCACCATGGGAAGAAGATGCGTGGTGGAAGCCATGTGGCCTTTCACGGTACCGCCATGGGAAGAAGATGTGTGGTGGAAGCCATGTGGCCTTTCACGGTACCGCCATGGGAAGAAGATGTGTGGTGGAAGCCATGTGGCCTTTCACGGTACCGCCATGGGAAGAAGATGTGTGGTGGAAGCCATGTGGCCTTTCACGGTACCGCCATGGGAAGAAGATGTGTGGTGGAAGCCATGTGGCCTTTCACGGTACCGCCATGGGAAGAAGATGTGTGGTGGAAGCCATGTGGCCTTTCATGGTACCGCCTAGGGAAGAAGATGTGTGGTGGAAGCCATGTGGCCTTTCATGGTACCACCATGGGAAGATGATGTGTGGTGGAGGCCATGTGGCCTTTCATGGTACCACCAAGGGAAGAAGATGTGTGGTGGAGGCCATGTGGCCTTTCATGGTACACCATGGGAAGAAGATGTGTGGTGGAAGCCATGTAGCCTTTCATGGCACCACCATGGGAAGAAGATGTGTGGTGGAAGCCATGTGACCTTTCATGGTACCACCATGGGAAGAAGATGTGTGGTGGAAGCCATGTGGCCTTTCATGGTACCACCATGGGAAGAAGATGTGTGGTGGAAGCCATGTGGCCTTTCATGGTACCACCATGGGAAGAAGATGTGTGGTGGAAGCCATGTGGCCTTTCATGGTACCACCATGGGAAGAAGATGTGTGGTGGAGGCCATGTGGCCTTTCATGGTACCGCCATGGGAAGATGTGTGGTGGAAGCCATGTGGCCTTTCATGGTACCGCCATGGGAAGAAGATGTGTGGTGGAAGCCATGTGGCCTTTCATGGTACCGCCATGGGAAGAAGATGTGTGGTGGAGGCCATGTGGCCTTTCATGGTACCACCATAGACTGTACAATGCACGTAAATTAATATCAAAGTACTTTATTCCAAACAACTGAAAACCGTAATCCCAAAATCCGCCAAGAAGGAGGGGCATTAGGAACGCTCACCACCAGACTAATATCACTATATATTGGAACTAGTTTGCGCCACAGACCGGATGGTAATGCAGTCTCAGCCAGTTCTCCTCAACATGTTTCACAGTCCTTCTTCAGGACGGATTTTAGAGCGTAGAACATCTACAGAGATCTGAATAGAATCGAGTAGGAGAATCGAATAGAATAGAATC